AATTGAATTCAAGATCGATAGCAGTTTCTTTATCAAATTATAAACTTACACTTATTTTAAATACTATTCAATAATTTTTAGTAGGAAAATTTGTTTTGTGGAACTCCCTCACTATCTTCGAAGAGAAGGGAGTAACAGTTTTATACCCCAAAACCGCCGGTTTTTAAGATAAATTTGATTCTCCCGCTTTAAAAAAATGTAGGAAATGTATTTAAGTGGTTGGAACGGGATTTCTACCTTTTATGATCCCAAGATAATTCCGGCAGTTGATATGAATTTGTTCACAGATGCTAGTGAGTAATAGCTTTTTCAGGGTTATTTCGGTAACTGATGGTTGGCAGCGACTTGGCCAGAATATACAACATCATTAACGTCAAAATCATGTATTCCGTTTTGGAAATATTTTCGATAGTTACATCAGCTGTTCTTAGGGTGATTAATGGTCCAATAAGAAATTGTATTCAATCCTAATAATGAATCGGTCGTTCAAATTATCCAGAAAGGTCAATCGCAAGGCCGTCTCATTATGTCTTTGATGAGGCGGCTTACTTGGTTATCCTTTCATGTTAATTTTGTTGCTTCGCTCGGCATGTTCCGAGTTTCAAAAACGTATTGGTGGATTTGTTCGTTTACAGATAAAGAGATTCAAAAAATTATTGTCACAAGCACAACCGTTTTTTCATCCAATATCACCAGCCAAACTAATTCTCTATCGATGAATGTATTTTACAGTATCTATTAAACTTAAAGGGTTCAATCAGTTTTGTTTTTTTTGTACCATGTTTAATAAAGAGATGCGTGCTGATTTGCCATCATTAACAGAGGAAACAATCATTGAGTTTATTGCATACTGCTTCGGTATTCTTCATCTCAAATCAACAACCATGAAAATGTATTTAGCAGAAATCAAATATATTTATACACTACAAGGATTCGGATCTAAATTTTTTTAGCGTTCTACTTAGCAGGGACGTATACCATTATTGATTAGAGCAGTGGAACGCCTGGAAAATCCAACCAAACGATCCCGACTTCCAATTACATTTTCTATTTTGAAACGACTTTATCATGTACTCAAATCTAGTTCTTTCTCACCATATCTACCACAAACAGCCATAATATAGCCATAATAGGATTTCTTCGGCAAGCTCGATACAAATTCTAATCTGTCTGTTTCGGATATTTCACTTAGTCTCTGCAAAAATAGTGCTTATTTATCTTTAAAATCATCAAAAACAAATCCTTTCCGTAACGGTGTTACGATTTTACGATAATCGATTTCTCGTCTACATCGATTCCTAGCTATTCGTAGTTCAATTCCTTTTTCATCGTCGGAGTACCTAGTTTTAATGCTTGACAAGACGCCTCTATTGTGAACAGTTTTTGTCCGACATATCCGATTTCTTTTATCGAGTCTTCAATATCTAGCTCATCTTTATTCTGGACATAGCTTTCGTCGGGGATCCATTACTACAGCAATACAAGTAGGAATTTCAGTTAGTATAACTCGACGATTAGGCAGATGAATAATTAGTAGCGTGCAGCTGTATATTCATTTACAATTTGATACTATAAAAGAAGCACAAATGGCTCTTACAACAACTACAGCAACATAACTGTAACTTCCCTCTTATCGGGGAAGGTAATGCTTTACATCACCCTGGTCTTCATCCCCAGTAAGAGTATTTTGTATTTGTGCTTCTCGTGAAGTAATATGCCGAAATAAATAATAGAAGCAGGATATGTATCTTGAATAAGAAGCTTCCTACTTCAACATGGCGCAACATTTTCGGTTCATGTACTAACATTGTTTTTTAAGCGTTGCTTGCCATTTTAACATGGATACACCATCTTGTATTTTCTTTTTTCTACACTTCCTTTTTACCTCGAATTCACACGCTCCAGATCGGACTGAGATTCTTCATCATCTTTTGCATCGGATAGCCTCTTGTATGCATACAGCTCTAAGCTTGGGACAAGGGCTTCATTCTCAATAAGAGTATTTAGCTTTTTTGTATTTCTGCTTCGTGTGAAACACAAATACAAATGTCACGGGCATGTTATGATTCCTCAATTGATCTTTTACGATATTAGTTCAGATCGAACAAAATGAAGGTGTACCAGATCCTACCTGACTTTTACTGTCTTATCATGAGTGTGGTTAATCATGTTAATCCCTCTAATTACGCCTTCTACTATGTAGAAAATTGTTGTGATCTTCTTACTAATACGTTTCATCCATTTACAACGGAGCTTCCATTAATGCTGTTATCTGAAAGGAAATGGAACTTGTTGTGTAAGGAGTATTCAAAAAGTTATTTTTTGAATTGAAATGATATTTGAAAAGTTACAACTGCTAGAATTCGTCAATCCACCCTGGTAATACAGTCGAGAAAGATTTTATGACCTGATATTTGACTAAAAACAGTTTGTATTTTATACAGACTCAAATTTTGACCACGGCTAAAATCCAAAGGCGATCATTAAATATGATTAATTGAAGTTCCAATTTTAATTATGCGCTAGTAATTCTCATTTGAATTTTGACAAAATAGGTACATATAATGGAGAAGAACGTATGATGGAATTTCATGATATTAGTATAGATGTGAGCGGCGAAAATACTCATAGGTAAACTTCAGCCAAACATCGTCGATTAAGAGTTTGAAAATACGCAATTCGACGCAATACAATTAACTTATGGATAAAACGCGAGTAAAACAGATCTAAGGCTTTCTTTAGCTGAAAAGGTTCTTCCAACAGATGGAAGAAACAGTTTTCCGTCAATAAATAGATTGAAGTCTCGTCTACATGTATGCAAAAAACTTGAATGAAAATTCTCTCGAAAAAGAGAAAAATGTTAGAGTCGAATAATCACGGAAAAACTACACCGAAACAGATAATTAATCAGCGAGCATCTATGAGTAGTAGCCTTATGCGGCTGAGGGTTTCCAGGAAATTTTAGAGATTTTACCGGTTTCTGAATTCAGCAATGGTGTACCGACAATATGTCTGCAATTGTGCTGAGATTGTCCATTGAATTCACCGGCCTTGAACCCCTTAGACTATTCCATCTGGACCGAATTCATGCAAGAAATGAACTGCAGTCATGTTAAGACCGAAGCCGAACTGATTCAAGAATGTGCAACGACAAAAATCAGGAAATAAAATGTTTAAAGAGTTGTGAATGTATCATATTTCAAAACTATATTCACTCAACTGCTTGTGGCGACATGCGGTTGCTCTATCGCTCTCTAACGTTGTTAAATTGTCTCTCAGAAGAAATAATGTGCGGGTATATTATCTTGCTGACGCCGATGCCCACATTAATTTTACATGACCGTAGACTTTTAGTCAAGAGAATAACTACAAAAAATTTATTTTAAATATAACGTGAAAACAACTGCTCAAAAAACTTTTCGTATGTAAATTAAATGATTTTAAACCATATAACAATATTTGAAGTGTATTACTAGCTTTGAACATAGCCAGTTGTAATTTAGCCACTTTAAAACTATTAGTTTCATGTTATTTACGTTCATCTAATTGATAAAGTTTTTATGGGTTATTTATATTTTGAACTGATGTTTGATCATTGTATTTTTACAATTAAATTTAAAGCGGAGATGTCGATGGCACAGGCAATTAACCATTTGAGATTCCATCAATAGTAAATGAAGATGTAGTGAACGTGTCTATGTTATACCATTGTTGTCTAAAGTTTCTGAACGAAGTATTCGATCATACTTGATAACAGCGTTTTCGATATAACTTTGGCAAGGTGGGGGAAGTTTTATGGAGCAACTCTACAAATTTAGCTGATAACTAAAAAAGGACTTTTAACTTTTCGGAGTAATCTTTTAGAAAGAGTAAATTTTTTAAAATGAACGGAGTAATTGTTTCAAACACCTAATCGAAATCGGTGCTTGATAAACAAAACAAACTGGCAAAGCTGGTTTCAGAGAAAAGACAATGTATATGAAAATAAAATTTTAATTTTAACTTCACATCAATCATTATGGAGTTAAACAAAACAGATCTATTGTTGTCTATGTTTTCTCTTTCTTCCATTGTACTCCATAACACGCCACTCAACCATCATCATTGAAATTCTGTACATACTGACGGGACCACGAAGTACGGGCATAATTTCCCAACATTTAAACAGAAACTAAAAACAAACTCGTACCGTATTACCAGAATCATTGATCTTACGACCAACATCTTGCAGATTGCAGTTGTTGAAGGACTAGTAGAAGACCTCGCACCTCCACCCTTCAGCATATGGTTTCATTTTCCAGTCTATTTTTATCACTTCGATGACATCAAAAGCCGACGTTTTCTTCCTATCAGAGAGCTAGTAGCGTTAAAAAGTGGAATCTAACTTATAAACAAAACATAACTTTTCAAAAAAAAACGTAGGAACTATGATATGTCTTTATCCGAACTTTAGATTTTTGAAGATTTACCGTTTTACTTCAACAATTTATATCAAAAACACTACAAAACAAACAAAACAACAAGAACAAGAAAAAAAGATCAAAATAACACTTATAAATGAAAAAACAATGATACTCTAATGACGATGAGAGTTGAGAACAGGATTTACATCAACAAGTTGACTAACTGGAAGTTTCAGTTAGTCAACTTGTTTAGTTTCAGTCTGAAACTAAAATATTTCCTAAATTTACTACACACCGTTAAACTGACATTGACAGATTAGCTAACAAAAAAATCGGATTACAAGAAAAGAGCGAGGAGTGTATTTGATCACCAATATATGAAAATGATATAGCTAAGGCGTTTTGTTTATTTTCCTTTCACACCGGTAAAAAAAGTAACAAAATTCGGTTGAAGCACAAAACAATTATTATGAAAAGGAATCGAAAAGTTTTGTTTCACCTATAAAAAAGTAAACAATTTTTTTCATCCTTACTCGAAATGTAGCTAAGACGGATACACACCCTCGAGATAAAGTGCGCACACACAAAATGAAAAGTCTAATCAGCTCGTCTAACAATTCGTCTTTTTATATCTTGTGGATCTTGTGTAAGTGGAAGCGACGATGTATTCGTCAGTAACGATGATGTAGCCGAAGCAGAAGGAGAAGAGTTCGAAGAAAGCGTCGAGGATGACGATGAGTGAGTTAGATTTGTCTGCTGTTGCTGCAATGTTTGAGCCGTTAATTGTGTTGTTACAGTTGATGCTTGTGGTATTGATGTTGAAATTGTTGTTATTACTTGAGGTGCAAGTGTTTTATGAACATACTCATAAGTTGATTGCAATATCGGTAAAAGCTATAAAAATTTCAAAGAAAATAACTTTAGTTTTGCTATTGTTATATGTTTCAGAGGTGAGAAGATTGTGCCGTCTGTCAGAACGTCACAAAACTTCGTCTGGTCCATCTTTAGTGTGTATGAATAATCTACTAACCGTATCATATTTGAATACAATTGCTATGACTAGAAGAGCAATAATAAATGCCAAATAGGAACCTTGACGAGTTTCAGAATCGTATGTTCTCAACTAAAAATGAAACAATTAAAGTTGAACAAAAAACCTGAAAAGCAATAGATAATTCAATAACCTACCTTTGGCTCAAAATTAAATGTAAAAAAGAGAAATGTTTGATTTGCTGTAAATGTTACTTCCGGTAAGATGTATGTATATAAACTGGTTGACAATGGAGATTCTAATTTAAGGATGTAACTCTAAAAAAATAAAATTAAATAAATAATATTTTTAAGAACATTGTATATTAAACGCTTCTCACAAACACAGACACACTCAATATCATTTGTCATAATATAGTCGAGTAAACACCGAATTAATCGGTTTTATTTTAATTTTACATAGCTGTAGATGATGCTGACAATTTTAATCGAAAGTTGCTGTTTTAAATATAACTTAGAATACAATAATTGTTGTCTGTATACGATCAATTCTGTCTTTAGACATTAATAGACTCTATTACTAGTAGCATTCACAAAACTTCTGAAATAATTGCAAATTTTATAATAGCAAGTTTGCAAATATGAACTTCGACCGAATACTGTAATTACTGGAACAGAAAAGTCATTTATAGTGCTAATATATTTTAACTTACATCGTTATCAAATGGTAATGAGTTTAAATAAGCAAAATTCGAGTTCAACAATGTTACAGTTTGAATTGGTAAATCTCGATTTGATGATTTATAAAGTTTAACCTAAACAGAGCAGTAACAATTATATTATTCAAATTGACACAAGATCGACTTACTTTTAATTGTGGTAAAAATTGTGTTTGTGTATTAACGTGAACACTGAGATCAACTTCTGTTGGTCTTTTTAATGTATACAAATGGATATTTTCGACATCGGCATCTGAAATTTCAATTAATTTTTCTGCTGGTTCAACCTGAATAATATCAGATTGTTGAGCATCCAGAGGATTAACACGATGAATTAATTTATAACGACAACCAGGTTCCAATGCTCTACAAAAAAAGCAAAACAAAACTTCAAAATGTTATTTGACTATTAAAAATGACTAGACAAAAAATAACAACAATAGCATATCATACCTTAATCTAAATTGACCTCCAATATCGGACTTGGCTGATTCTCTTAATGTATCACATTGATCCAGACCGACTGCATCAATAATCAAACCATTTTCGGGTTCATTATTCAACGATGTTATTATTCCATAACAACTATACGATGTTCGTTTAGCTCGAAATACATATTCAGTATAATCACCCGATTTAATATCGAAGTGTACATCACTCGGACTGAAATCATATTCACGCATTTGTGGTCGAATATAATATGTACCTAGAATGAATAATTATATTAATAATATGATCAAATTCCTTTATTTTTCTAAAAAAAATAATATTTACCCGGTTTTAAATCGACAAAATAGACTTGTCCACTTTTATTTGTTAAACTACTTTGTCTATAATTATTTGTCGATGTCAATAAAATAAAAACACCATCTAATGGTTGTTCATTGAGTTCATCTAATAATTTAACATGAATTTCGGCTAATTTTTCAACCAAAAAATTGTATGGATTAGATGTAGATGAAAATACATGTCCAGCTTTTTTTATTTTTATTTGATATTGTCGTGTATCAATTAATGGACCAAAAGTATATTCTCCATTTTGATCAGTCAACGTTGATGAAAGATAATAAACTTGTTTTCCATCAAGTTCAACTGTAGATTGTTCCAGATCTCCATCACTCAATAACGATGAATAAATCGATACATTTGCCTCTGACACCGGTGGAGATATCTGACCAGTAATAAATAATCCACGGCGAGCAATAAATTTTACTAGATTAGAGTTACAATATTCTAAAATAAGATACTATAATTGTAAAAGACAAGATCTAGTATGACTTAGACACTTTACCAGATGAGACAATAATCGAAGCTTGTTTTGGTTCAAATAACCATGTTTCAGATTGAGGTAGAAGTGTAAAATGTTCGCCATTTCTAAAATAGAATATCGATGAAATTCACAAAAAATATACAAGTATATGATTTATTAATAGATAATTCTTTGTTAGCAAGCATTTATTGAAAATTAGTAAAGAAATTTGATAAACATACTTTGCCCAAAAATATCCAGTTAATTCATTTCCAACTTTTTGATTTAAGTTGAACGTAAACTCATTATTCTGCATCATATTTCTAAAGAATATCAATAATATCAGTTAGTCACTAATACAAAATCAAAAATCTTAAAATATTCACCTAATAATAATCGGAAACTGAATCTGATCATCGAATGCCGTTGAAGGTGTTGACATTGAAATAAATACTTGATATTCAATTGGTATCAATTCTATAATTGCACTTGAACCTATTGCTTTCGAACTATCATAAATATATGTTGAATTTTCAAATTTCATACAGCTAACTGGAACGAGTTCATAGACACCTTGAAAAAAACACACAATTAAAAATAGATAGAACAAATAGTCTATTCAAAAAATTGTTTACCTTTTTTTGGTAAACATAAATCCGTATCACCATTTTGTAATGGATACGATCCAATAATTTGATCTGGCTCATCTTTTAATGTAACATTCTAAACAAGAAAATTACTAAAAATTATGATAGCGATATAAATATCATTGAAGATTATTAATAAGGGTGCATACTTTGAGAGCTTTATGTCTCAGATGAATACTTACCAGTATGACATCGTTTGTTGTTTGAATAGCAACAATCAATTTAATTCCCGTTTGTTCTAATGTTACAGTTTTATTTGAATTTGATAAATCAATCTCCATCTGAATATCTTTCCAACAATAGGTAATTTTTTCATTTGGTGAAAACGAAACTAAAATTAGAACAATCTTTTAATTTCTTGTCTAAATAGAAATGTTTAAAAAAATAAATAATAAAACATTAGACTTACGAATATATTTTCCTGGTAACATGTTATCTTGTTCGAATTCAAAAATATTTCCTGATTCTGACACTTTGTGTTCTTGTTGATTTTTTAAATCAATTTTTGTTGCGACTCGACGATTTAAGGATGTTAATAAAAGTTGTGGTAAATCATTACCGCAACGATCTAAATTAAAAGAGAAATCTTATGAAAAAAAACAATGACAAATGTTTGAGTCATGTGATAATCAAAAAATGCAAACGGAGCTCAACTCCTCTTATACAAAGTTTTAAATTTTAAAAAATATCTACCAATGCATTTAATTTTTCCATTTAATTTTGCTTTTAATTGAGAAAAGTTAATATCGTCAATTGGTTCACTTTTAATTTGCACGTCAATTTCTTCGGGTGTTAAATGTAAACCGGAACGAATATCAGAATCAGTTAATTCAGGCTAAAAATTAAAACAAGAATAATTACGAGTTACGAATAATGGCTATATCAAGTTAATCTTACCGAAAATGTATATGTTCCCGGTGTTAAATAGACGACATATTTTGTGTTTGGATCAACTTCAAGTTTTTTCATATTTTGTTTTTGACCATCTACTTTTGAATAATAACGAATTGTTTGCTTTTTTGCTGTATCCGATAACTTTGTCGAGATTTGAACAGTACCGGTAACACGAACTCTAAATGAATAAAAATCCCTCATAATCTAAACGTTTTGATAAACAACTGAAACAACTCATGAGTTTAGAACATACAGAATTTCAATTAATGCAATATTTTTTTCTCTTGCATTTTTCGTATCACTGTTTATAATTAAGAGTGGAACTGGAAGAGTACAGTATCCTGTCCTATATCTGAGCCACTCTCTGGCAAGAAACCACAATATTATAAAAAATCTCACTTTTCTGGTGCAATAACAAGCATTCTTTCATTTGTGGATATCATTTTATTTAAATTGACCGCATGTGTAATATCTTTGAATATGTATCCGTCTAATTCGGCTTTGACTTTGATATTTCCATTTGAACGAATATTTTCTAATAGAAAATAACCATTTGCATCACTTTTACAGCACGGTTTTTGATCAACAGTTATAACAACATTTGATAACGGTGCATCGTCCGTCTAGACGGAAATAAAATATACACTATGTACCAAACATTCTCTTTCTCTTGTTCGTTTGTCTTACCAGTTTTCCCATTTTTACAACACGTCCACTAAATGAGACAGTCGATGTTTCAAATGGTAGCTAAAATAAAAAAGAATATTCATTATGAAGACAGACAATAAACGTCAAAAGCATTTGAAAATAAAGTTGTTTAACTTCATGATACCTAATTTTTATCCACAAGTGCGTTTCACAAAGAATTTAACTGTAACTTAAGTTAAGATAAGACTAAAACTTTTGACGTAAGTCATCAGAATAAAAGACATGTGTTACTCAGTTTCACAATCATTAATTAAATAAGATATTCAACTAAGGTCATACTTAGATGGTAAAAATTCAAAAAAAGGTTAAAGAAGAAACCTTAAATTTTAAGACTCAAATTAGACATCCGACGTAACCTTAGCTTAGATTTCTTGCGAAATACACCTCAATGGTACGTATTATATTTTTTTCAATCTATTTGTATTTAATTCTTCGATAGCAGAATTACGTTATAACACAACCGGAACAATCTTTTACCTGTATAATAAAATCTTTATGGAAAACTGTAAGTGATTTCTGTGTAGGAACAAAATTGAGATCCATCGTCGATGTATGATAATAAGCCAACTAAATATAATCATAGTTTGTCATATTTGTATTCGTAATTCTTTGTCAAACTTTACTTACCACCGAATAAATACCAACAGGAACATCTTGAAATATATATTCTCCTTTATCATTTGTTTTTGTTCGACATAGAAAATCATCATTCTCTAGTCCTGGTGATGCAAAATCAGTTGGTAATGATCTGTCATCACATGTTATCATAGAAGATGGATTAGTCTAAGTGAAGATAACGAAATATATTAATAAGCTTTTGTGTACAAATGTTCACCAATTTTTATGCTTGGTAAAACTTATCACGAATACGAACCTGCTGATCAGTTTTTCCATTACCATTGGTAGTCACTCCATTAGTTTTCGAACGAAATAACAGAATGTCTATATCCTTGATTGGTGTGGATTGATGAACTACATTGCCCTATAAAAATCAGAAAAGAGAGTGTTACATCGTTCTGAAATATTCCTTTCATTCTATATGTTTCATACCTTTACTGTATAACCTCGAACAACAATTGGATGTTCTATTTCCCATCGTTCTTTCGATAATTGAACATTCGATACATCCTAAGAGTTAGAATATTTTGAAACCTTTTATTTTGTCCAATGTGGTTCTACTTACAGTAATAAACTTCCAATGATCATGAGTTGCTTTAACTGTGTAATCACCTGGTAGTACATCGAAAAATTCAAAACTAGGAAGAAATTAATAACGTACTAATTTATTTAAAAGTAGTCTTTCTACATACGTTCCATCTGATTTTGATATTGTTTCATTTAATTTATTAGTATTTTGATACAAAGTTAATTTCACACCGCTCGGTCCACCAGTCGTACTTCCAGCACTGATAACCTGTAAAAAAAAGCGTATTTTATCAACTATTGTGTAAAACCAATAGAAGGCTGACCTTTCCAGCTAAACCAAATCCTTTGAAAACAAAATTTAAATCTTGATTCAAACTGCATGGATCTGTTTCACCGTCAATATTTAATTCCATTTGATTTGGCACTACAATTAAATAGTTGAAAGTCCTTAAAATAAATGGAATATATCATTCATACCAAAACTCCACCCTGGTGGTGGTATGATTTTTAATATATATTCTCCTCGTTCATATACTGGTATCATGTAATATCCATTGATAGGAGCGGCTTCCGTTGTATAAACAGGTATGCCATCTTTTGTTATCAATTGAATCTAAAGAAAAAGTTATATTATCGTCTGCAAAAACCTATAAAAATAAAGCACGCAATTAACCTACTCGAACAACTTTATAATTGATATCCATTTTCGATTTAATAAAACCTCCACATCCGATAACGTCTTGACTTTGTCCGTGAGGAACAGAAATCATGAGTAAAAATAACACAACGATATTAATGTTTAAAAGCACCATCTAAAACACTGGAATAGTTATAAAAAATATTAAATAAAATAAATTAATAACTGGAAACAAAAAACTGTACATTTCTCTCGCAGTATAGTCAAAGTATTGCACTATCTTCAAATAGCATCCACAATTTACTGACGTACATTTCAAATACACATCAATTTTCTCAGTCGTTTGAAATTATTTTGTAGCAGTCACTCACTAATCCTATAATTCCTTTATCCAGACCCGATCACATATTTGGTAGGGAAATCGCTATTTATTCAAAAAAATAAATAGAAACTGACCATCAAAGTAGTTAAACAAAGACATTCCTACTTATTTTCTTCTCAAGAGAAAAGGAAAGTGAATCGTGAGAGTGAAGGAAAGTGCATGACTTCAGACAGCGTCCTCACTCGGGTGAAAGTATCTAAAATGAAATGAGCTAGAAACTTTCCCCTGGTTCGATTATAACCGTCAGATTTTCGAACACCAGTGACTGATACATTTTTTCATTTATCTATTCGTTTATGTTATTTATACACTACCAAAACAGGCACATAAAATTCTTAGGAAAGTCACAGTACAAATGTTGTTTTTCTTACATTTTTCCTGTTGAGTTCAAAGTTTTTAAATGAGTTTATTGTGAAATCAGATATAAACACTTCTACTGTCAACGTTAGCAATCATTTTACATTTCCCGATATGTTATGATAAAATCACTGTTCTAGGGGGTGAAACATACAACGGAAAAATGCGGCAGTTAATTCACTCCACTGGTAGAGTTCAACGCCTGGAAAAAACGACGTAAGAGGAAGAGAATGAAAAGTGATGTCGTGGTAAAATCGTTTCTGAAAAACATTTAGATGCTATTGAATTCTCACAAGAAAAACGTTATATTAAGAAAAATATATAAATACACAAACGTGGCATCATTTTTGGTACTGTCACGTTTTTTCTTGCATTTTTTGTTTTTTTCAGGTTTTTTTACTTGGCGGTATATTATAATGTACGTTATAAGACGTTACCGGCTATTGGCAGCTGTTATTGACAGGTAACTTCTTACAACGGTATAATGAACTCATTTTTTCGAGATATACAGGTGCCAGAATGATTGGAATTAGGGTAAACGAATAAAAATCATCAAAAAGTTCATCTACGAAGAATGTAGAAAGCGATCGAAAGAAAAACAGATCCGTTTGCATTGCGCTTTGTACGAGGAAATGATTGACACAGGCACTATTGCTGAAGTACATAAATTCGGAACTGACAAAAGATGGCGTTAAAGGTTTTAAAAATGTTATTTCCTTATTCAAATCTATCCGAAATATTTTGGTAAAAAAGAAATATCTCGGTAAAAATTTGGACTGGTGGAATACTCTCTAAAACTCTACACTTTTGAAAAGTGCGGGTACGTCGTACTTCACTATCTTGTTTCGCTTTTCTCTCTGAAATTACATTCCGTGATTCTAAATTAAAAGTAACAGTCAACCCAGAAAGAGTGAGCAAGAGCCAAAATGCCTATTTTGACTTCACCATTCATATCTTTTTTATAACGTACGCATCACTTTTAACTTCTTTCTTTTCATTTTAGATTATGAATTTTCGAAAATTGAGAACACCGGCTCGTTCTCATATTCGTCCTCCTATTATTCGTGTTAGTACGCCAAAAATTCAAGCATTTTTACCTCCTACATCGTTGTCTTCTCAGTCTGAACATCAACAACAACTTCAACAATCACCGTTATTTGATCAAGATGAAAATGATATTACGTTGTGTAAACTTTATTCGAATTTATTGTTACTTGGCATGGAATATAATCAAGAATATTATCAAAAGCATTGGGCATACATTGGCAACTTAAGACAATTCTCTATCGATAATTTATTGCAATCTCAAGAATTAGTTCGATTAGTCACACATTTTCTGATTGTGAGTTATGAATTATCACTAACTCGAGCTCAGACAGGTAGGCGATTTGTAGGTAGAAAATTTGATGTATCTTATGTTTGAAAGAAAAAACACTCAAGAGCAATGATATTTGAAGCCATTGAACTAGTCTTAGCATTGCTGAAATTTTGTGATACTGATCGCTTCAAATGAAGTGAAAGAGAAAACTAATTGAGGTATATGCAAACTATTTGTTCCAACAAAATCGGGATGATACTAGAACGTTCTCAAAATGAATGGATAAAGAAGGTATTACCAGTTTTTGATCATTACACTTGTTCCTAAAAATATTTCTTGTGCGAGTATAATGAACACTTCTTTTATATTAGGTGAGAAGTCGTATGTGAGTGATTATTTACGTGGAATTCCCTATTATTTTCCACCAATTGGTGAAAAATTAACTGAATATAATCGTCTTGTCAAAAATAAATTTCAACAAATTTCAACACTGAATTGTGGTTATCCTTGGCCAAAAATTATTCCTGATCCATCGTGTGTTCATCGATTTTATTTATGTTTATTTTATTTATCACAATTATGTTTAATTAAACGTTTGCCAAAAAATTCACAGATCCGTTTTAAAGAAATGAATTGCTTACCAGCGGTAAATGAGAGTATAAATAGCTTTTATTCGATTGTAGTGACTACCTGAACAATAGAGTTATCTGAATTAAATATCGATAGAAATCAATTTATTTTATAACTGCTAACTTTTATAACAGTAACAAATTTAACTTCCATTTTAGAGTAATCAGTCTATTAATGTTGGAAATAATGAAAAAAATGGTTCAATAACAAAAGATCGTTTACAGCGTGTCAGTCATTTGATTAAATGTGATACGTCAAGAAATTATCAAATGTTTTATAAAAAAATAGCCGATGATTATGAAAAACGAAACAAATTTTTTCAATTGAAAGAGCAATTAGAACAAGAATTAGAAAAATTAATTTATCAATATGAACGAGCAAACTTATACTCACAACAATTTACCCAACAGCAACAACAAGGTAAACAGAAAATGCGCTTTATCCAAGAGTTCCGATGAAAAGCAGTATCTTTACAGAAACAGAGGTAAATGATGATACTACTAAAAAACATATTACATTTTAAATGTAACATACTATTGTATATTATTACATTTAAACATATTATTGACATCACTCGTTTAATATGCTAGGTTACACTGGCGGATTCAGCCAGCGAGCTATGACAACCGCCTATACCTCATACTTTCCATACCTACCACATGCACCTAAGTAAAATCCTGAATCCACCACTGCTGGGTTAATACTAACAAACTTCTCAAAACAAATAATTTACATCTTATAATCGATGTTATTTTTCTTTGTATCCAGATGATCAATCAAATCGTTATGAAAATTTACTAGTTCAAATTCGTGAAATGAACTCATATTTGTCGAGTGATACATTTCAAAAAGTAGAGTGGTTTTCAAAAAATTATTTGTTAAAATTAAATTCAACAAGTATAGACATTGGTTTAAATCCAACACTGTGTAAACAAATTAAATTATTATGCGAATTAAATTCACAACAACAGCATGTGAACAAAGATTTTTTATTGTCCACAATAATGTCGGCAGGCAAATGATACGATAAATACACATTTCGTCTGTCTAATTCGTTTGTAATGTTTCGTTAAGGTTCATTGATCGAAAAAGTATCTAATTCTTCATCAACAAGTCCATTATATTCAAATTTTACTGAATTATTTTCATCGACAAACATTTCACCATTTATCACAACATTTGAAATATGTCAAGCAGCCATAGTGTGTTTACGAGAACGTTTTCATACATATGAAGAAAATGGTAAAAATTCAAAATTATGTGCTCAGATCATTGAACAAATTAGTTTAACTGTAAAACAAATTGAAAATATACAAAATTTACTCACACATTTTGAACAACAAAAGCAGCATTTATGTTCAATCGTACCAACAATAGATGAGAATATAACAACAAATTATGTTAATGACATCGTGGAAAATGGTGATACTATAGGATATTCACAAATAAACACATCGCTAATAACCGGTGAGTGAAGAACAGAAACTGAATCAGTATCTAGAAGAATAGGTTTCTGTTAACTGAAATTTGTAAGATAAGCTCTACGGTATAAAGTAACTGACTTTGTAAAAACATTTTTTGAAGTATAAGTGGAACTCGTTTGTTTAACGCCGTTTTTGTATAGAGATTTTTGTGATTTTTTTTAGATCATGACTTAAACCAGTGTGGGCATGAAGGGCGCATTCAATTAGCGAATCAGTTGTATCAACGTCCGTTGAATGTGGTTCGCAATCCATCGTCAACATTCTCATTTCTGAACGATTCGTCATCGTTGACATGTATTGAAAGTGTTACAACAACAATACAAGGTGCGCCTAGAACCTATGAAGAAGAAACTATGTCTTCCACGTCATCTGACTTATCATTTCGTCAATTAGAAGCACTTTTATTGGGTCCAAATCGAACAAAAACAACGATAAATGACGATAGTTTTATTCGATTAGAAAATCAATTGAATAATGAAGAAGAAAATGTTGATGATGAAATTGATCAACACTTAACAATTAGGTGAGTATTAAGCATCATAATTACATAGTTAATACATTCATTTTTATTTTAGTCCGCAATCGTTGTCAAATGACGCATTAACTACTAGTACAACATTAAATAATTCATCTTCTGTTGAAAATGATATGAGTTTGTCAAGATCATCGGAAGAAATTATCATCGTATCAGTACAAGATCAATATAACAACGAAAAAGAAAATATTTTTACGCCACCAGAAAACATCGTACAAATTCCCATTGAAATCAAGGCATCAAAACTTATTTCACCAATTTTATCATCACCATTACGAGCGTAAGAAAACAAAAAACTTAATTTTTTTATAGTAAAATTAAAAATTGCTGTCTTAATTTTTGTTTTAGTCGACCAGAATTACCAAAATTATTAACACAAATTGAAAGTATTGATCCATATTAAACATGTAGTTGCTTTTTAAAGTAAAAAAATATAAATTTTATCTTTTAATCTTTTTTTTTATCTTGAATATTTTTTAATCATGTATACGACTTTAGGTTCCTTGTGGTTTGACAATGTTATTAGTTTTTTTGTATGTGTGAAATTCTTCTACCGTGAATATGAGAAATAAAATTTCATTAGTCTCTTTTTCCTATTGATAGAGAATTTTTGATAAGAAATAGAGTGAAAGTACTTTCTAAATGTATAAATTTATACATTTGATTGCTTTAAAATGAAAATATGAATTAATAATACTTTTACCTCTTGAGATTGAGGAATTTTTTGTAATATTTTATTTATAATTCGTATTGAATGGATGAATAGCCTATTGATTCCAGGAAAAAAGTGTAGCTCTATGGTATAAAAGTACACGAACAAAAAAGTATACAGTAATTGACAAAATTTAGAAACAATCCAAGTTAATAACATGTTTTTAAAAAATCATAGTGGAATTCTCTGAATATATTAATGATGTTCATAACTATCACACTCTGTTTTAGTTATATCATAATTCTTTAGGTTCCATTCGACAAACATGTCATGTCTTATATTACAACTCGTCACCAAAATTCTATAAAAGTACACAAATAGATATTATTATCATAAAGGACAGACGCACTTAGAAAAAAATTACGAGCCATTTATGTGAGTGAGGCCATCAACTATCCAATCAGTTCCGTAAAACCATTTTTTCTCAATAACTAAAAGGTCTGTAGGGTCTGGGTCGGTTTTAACTAGATCAGAAAGCATTTCTACATAAACAAAAACCATGTGGTGGTACAACATATCAGCTTTTGATAGAGAAAAATTTGTCCCTTTTATGAGTGCGCCCGTTGTGGGCGGACGACCGTTTACATTAAGTGGCGATTTTCTTCAAAATGAGAAAAAACACATTTGCCTAAATTTGTCACAATTATCTCCTAAATATGGACTATCAATTGATCAGATCATTCGAAAAAAAATTAGCTCCAAGATCACATTTTTCGATCGACATTTTTTCACTCTGGTAGATATAGCTAAACGATTACCAAAAGTCGCTCATTTTTCATACTTTTTGAAATCTGATGTCAGATTCGTGACTGGCAAAGGAAACTGCGTAAGTACGTCTCTAAAACATCATCCAAATCCGGGCCCCATCCAAAAGTACGGATCGTTTTTTTCCATTTTGTTTGGTCACCGAGGAAAGTTCATTTTTTCTGAATCAGGAGCAAAAAAGTCAGAATTCTACCCGTACTCCATTTTCTGCATCAAGGCTCACCTTTATGCAATAAAAATATCATATTCGGAATCAGCATTGAACACTGAGTCGAATGATGTGTATTTCGACATTTTTCGTTGGTTTTCATTTTTTGGTGAAAATCTCAGTAATTTTTTGACAAAACAAAATTCGAGAAAAATTAAAGTAGTCGGATAGGGCACATAAAGTCCATTATTCGACTCAGTTTTTAACGCTGATTCCGAATCTGACATCAGATTTCAAAAAGTATGAAAAATGAGTGACTTTTGGTAATCGTTTAGCTATATCTACCAGAGTGAAAAAATGTCGATCGAAAAA